TTTTACGTCTGGGCTTTTGATTTCTGTATCTGTTTCGTGGTAATTTTTCTTATAGCTTTAGTGAACATTCTATACTTGTCGACTTGAGTCTAAGGCATGCCGGTCCTCACGTACGAGCGTGATGGTGCACAGCCGGGGTTCGAACCTACGATATCAGGGATTAGAGTCGTACACTAAAGCCATTGCCTACGGCTGAGAGAGGAAACGGACGAAGAAATGTGGCTGTCCCAGTGGTTGTTTCAAACATTTGAGTAATTATATTTTAAATTTGATTATTAAAATAAAACAACATTAAATTGATAATAATTTTCCTATAAAGTAAGAGGCGGGTTTAAGTTTGTAATTTTTTGAGGTCATTTGGTAGTCCTAGTTTTTTTAGTTTTTTTCCGTTGGGGCGAATAATAGTAGGTATAGTGTAATTTTGATCGTAAACAATTTCTGAACAAATGTTATTCCACTGGGACGCCAACCATAAATAAGTCAGCTACACTTTTTGTATAATAATAAATCCAATATTTCCGATCAATTATAATACAATGTAGTTTTTTTTTCTTATTTTTCGTTGTCCTAACTTGCTTCAGTAGGTACTATTAATCGGAACCCTTTCACGGGTATAACCCTGCTCCAGCTTCCAAACCTCTCTTCATGGCTTTTAGTCTTCATTCACTTCCTGCTATCGCTTCTATGTCTTCTATCCACCTTTTTCTACGCCGCCCTCTTATTCTTGGTCCTTTCCATATAGATATGCATTAGTTACCTAGGTAAACATATTAAATATATTTTTACAGTATAAAACTCCGTTAATATTAACCCCCTCAGTCAACCCGAGACCATGGCACAGATTATACATAATTGTGATAGTTTTTATAATACAATTTCAATTGAATACTGATTGACATACAGTATAGGTTATCTGTCAGAGTCATACTGCAAGTTAATGTTGGAATATAATGAGGTTGGATAAAGGCAACTTTGTAGGAACATGAAGAAAAAATAGAGAGAAGGACTGAGAAAATTGGACCTTTATCTTTCAATAGTGACTTCCTAGAACAAAAGCACGATTAGTATTTAAATAGGGTTGTCTGGTTGTGATCGCTTGTTAGCGATAAGGCCGCCCTTTGCATTTATATATTTATATAGTTTTTATTTAAATGTAACGAAGTGTAAATAAATAAATAGTAAAAAAACGAGTAGGTAATTTCCCCGGTAGCACATCGGACCGTAATCTGCGGGAGGCTTTAAGAAAAATGAAACATTAACTATTATTAGTTTAGGAAGGAATTTATATTCCTCATACAAATTATTTACATCGCATTTTACTGTGTACCACAGTCTTCCCTTTTTATTTATCTGTGGTTTTAAATACCACCATAGAGTTTGTGACGAGTTTCTTGGAAAACAGTTGTGTGTGTTTATGCGAGATTAAAGGGTGCAGCCGGAGAGGGGTAACAGTCGATTTAGCCTTGTTGCAGCGTATTTTATTCGAAATTTAGCCAACATAACTAAAAAATACGTGCACGGAAGGCTGATCTACAAGCGTTGTTTCCACTTCGTTAGTTACTCTGATATTAAACCAGACTACGAAGTCCATTGACGTAAGCAATGTCTGATGTATTTATACTCTGTGAAATCGGCCTTTGTTTCGAATTTAAAGAATTATGACATATGAGTAGGAAATTAATAAAATTACCTTACGAATACATCAACATCAACTTTGCTAAAACTTAGTTTTGTTTGCACGGACACAACGGCCACAATTTTTTTGATTCATAGTTACGTTTGTGTTTTGGATGAGCTTTTAAGCTAAACAATAATGTTACACAGGATAAAGACGCAAGCAGAAGTGGCTATTTGATACGTTCTTTGTTCCTTGATTATACTTGTTTTTTTGTCTAATTTGTGTAAGCTGTGCTACGAGATAAATAAATAATAGATAATTGTCGTAGATCTTACTATAAAGGAAAATTCAACAAAAAAGCTCGAATATGTTGCTTTTTTTAAAAGTACTTACAGTAGTTAATACTTTACTAGGACTTCAATAATGGAGATATGAGTTGTATTTATGTGAGGGTGACATGTTTAGGTTTCCTAGCAATCCTAGCAAGTGTGTTTCGTATGGTCCACCTTTTACTCAGAAACAAAATCATATTCCTTGATTTGTATCAATATATTACATATTATGGTAATTAAATTTTTCTTTCTTGCTAAATTTTGAATTATTATTAATTAATTAATTTTTAGGATACCTAAGTCCAATTTTTCGTATTGTTCTTGTGATTGTTTTTAATGTTTGTCTGGAAGATATCGCTTCTAGTATTTTGTACACAGATTTCGTCACTTAAAGATTCATCGAAAGCTTTGGCTTACCTAAAAATTAAACCTTGTCCACTTGTATTAAGGTCGTTTTTAAGAAAGCTTCAACGAATGTCTCGTGTAATATGAAAGCAACTTATTACCATATTGTGAATGTGAGAATACAAACTGTTTCCCTAATAGCCGTACTTAGAGTCGTTAATTAAGTGTAGATTTAAATTAGTCAACCATTTTCAAATGAAAAGGGCAGTGCCCTTACTTAAATTGTTTCGTAAAATTCTATTTTTGAAGTGAAAACTTCTTATAGCGGCGTTGTACACATTTTTTGGAATGGGTAAAAAATGTTAAATTCGCGTCAGGACACGTGACCTGATCGAAAATTCGTAAGACGGATGGTGAGTAGACGGCTGGCGCGGCGTATTTAATGTAATATAAATTGAAATGTTTGTGTACGATAGCGCAATAAAGAAATATTGTATTCTACCAAATAAATCATAGTCCCTTTATACTGATAATAATTAAAGCAATTCGTGCAAAATTATTCCCTAACCATTCCAAAATATCAAAAATGCACTACGTTAATATTCAAGTTTTCACTTCTGCCGGCACTCCAGGAGTGCAACCCGTCGTTTTTTTTATAGAACAGTGGGCAAACGGGCAGAAGGCTTACACAGAGACACACAATGCCAGAGTGTATTCCTGGCCTTAAGAATGAGAACGCTGATATAGTAGAGCAGTGTTGCCCTGGGTTACGACTCTCATTCCTGATGTCGTAGGTTCGACCCCGGCTGTGCACAAAAGGACATTCTATATGCATTTACACTCGCTCATACGGTGAAGGAATCCGTCAGCCCCCAGACAGACGTCTGATCTTCCAAGCAATCCGTGACCACGACTCATTTAGGGTCACTCCACTGGACTATTATTCTTTTGCAATAAATTACAGCATTGAATAGTCAATCATCCATTTGAACCTAGGACGGATGACTCTAAACCTCCCGAATGTCAAACATTAGTAATATACAATACAAACAATAACAGACAAATAAGTATCGCATCACCCCCAGGCACTGAGAACTGTAACTCGAAGTCCTCGATTGCGCGAAATCAAACCTACAATTAAATTAGCCGCTCGATTCGCCAGACATAACATTGAGATTAAAAATAACATTTGACTCCGAGGAATTCCGCACTCAATATACATAAAAACCCCGTCGTATAGTAATAATAGAAATAATAATACAACTATATTGGGATTAGATGGCATCCGTTTCTTTGTAATTTCAATTAAAGACAAATATGCGATTAGAACTTCTACATAATATTCCCCTTATAACCAATTTTAAATACCCCTAAATATCAATTATAAAGCGTAATGTGTTTTGGTTTTACACTCAAGTAGTATAAGAACTTGGAGTATCTACCTATTATTGCTTTGTTATATTTCAGTTATATCCACGTGTTTATATTTGGTTAATTTGTTGGTTGGCTTAATATAAATTGAATAGAATCATGCGTTTTAATAAAACAAAATACCCTCTAAATAATACCTCCTAAACACCCACCAAGACATCATTACCCTTAAATATGGGGAGTCCTAAGTTGGCATCACTACCAATATACTTTCATGCTTGACACACGCCGTCGAAGTTATAAAGCAAATGCGCATAAAAAAGTTGTAATATGACCTCTTGTAAATCACACGCTTAGCCTAGGTCAATGCTCTTAATAAACAAAACACAAGCTTGCACAGAAAACAGTGTTACAACACTTCTGTATGATGTATCAGTTCGTGATAATTTTCTCTAATTCGCTCACCTACAGCAATAATGACATGCTGTTTACTATGAGCACGACGCTTAGACAGAAAATTAATTTATTGGTAACAAAAAGATGGTCCAAAAGTTCCCAAATCAAGGGCGTACAGAAGAAATGGCAAATAACTCTCTGCTATGACCAGTTTACAGGGGAACTGTAGGGCAAACATTACGCGTTTTGAGATATTGAGACATAATATCTTAATAATAAACAAATGCTATGTAAGGAAAGCTCGCTATAATGAGAGCCATATAGCGAAGTCGAAGGATTAATTTTCGTAAATTTTTAGGCTTGGTCCAAGTTATTTAGAAAATAACCACCTCACCTCCTTCGGACAAGCAAAAAAGCTGTGGCCGCCGTTGAGTAGGCAGAAAATAATAAACGGAACAAATATAAGAGTCTTTCCTCCAACTTCGATTTTGTTTCCTTTGGAGTAGAGACTCTTGGGCCGTGGGGTTGAAGTGCACAGGCGCTTATTAAAGATTTAAGTTGGCACCTGGTAGATAGTACCGGTGACCTCTGAGCTAGTGCTTTCCTGGCTGCTGCCAGCGTTAAAGGTACATTGCCACAGGGACCAAACTTTTTCAATTTGTTTTAATTTTCTTTTTATAATTTTTAACAATTTTTATTATTACTTTGTAGGTTAAGAAAATATATAGTACCCATTTGGGTACTATATATTTTACGTATGTAGCATGATTAAATGATTCATGATTGGAAAATTTTATTGCGAATTCAGAACTGAACTGCATCCGTAATACCATGACGTACGTTCACACGTGACACGTATATGGTCACGGATTTTTATTCAAATTATTTGACGGATTGCAAACATATATAGAATTACAGATACTAATATAGTTTAAAAAATGCAGAGTCGATTTGAAGTCATATACTGTTTTTTTGGTATGAGTTTAGGAATAACACGAACGAAATGCAAGGAAACACGAAAATATGTTTGGCACACTGAAATTTGTTTTGATCCTGCCCATACCCCTGGTATTATTATATATTTGTCACACATATTTATCTGTCCCTCCACAGTAAACATTACTATAAAGTTTTCAATAATAATATTTAAAATATCTTAGTGAATTTATATTGAATAATTATAATGCTAGAAGGAGAAGCAATCTACGTTTTTAAATAAAAATACTTTTTGAGTCCATAATTTTATTTAAGTAAATTTATTTTTATTCTTCATTGATTGATTCATATAAAGACCTCTACATATAGATTCCTTTGAATAGAGATTCTTTACCCCTAAATGATAAATTTAAATTGTGTATTAATTTAGCTTTGAGCTAAATTAATACACAATTGAGAGTGCAGGTGGGTACGTGCATAAGATTAATTAAAAAAATTAATCTCTCACACATTTCTTATTTAACATTATTTAATAATAAGATAGGACCTGATACATAAACTCATTAAAGCATAAATTTATAACAGTGATTCCTTGTTAGAGGTGATGAAAGTAAAATTCGAGAATTAATTAATGTTTTTGAAGTCTAAAGAAAATAAAAATCATATACAAAATCAAAACAATAAATATGAAAAAGGCATGTCCTTTAATAAAACCGTAATAATTGCGTAATTTACTAAAATTTTGCAAACATAAATCATGAGCAGGTTACTTTCTAGCACCAAGCAGAAGAGAAGGTGCGCGGGCGCTGCGCGATCGATGCGGCGGCGGCGGCGGGAAGCGGCGGCGTGCGGGGGCGGGCGGGCGTGGCGAGAGGCGGCGCGCGGCGGCCATTCGCTTGCCGCTCGGCCCGCCTTCGCGCCGCCCCGCGCCACCCCGCACGGCCCTCGTCGCTCAGTGCTTCGCGAGCCCTCGTCGCTGACGCTTGCGTCTCACACGCTACTTCGTGAACGCGTTCCGTTGCAGATGCGAGTTACCTATTACTAAAGCGATGCCGGCCGAGGAAGAACCCGTGGCCATGGACGCCAGGGACCCACCCGGCTCGCCCCAGCAATTCTGTCTGCGGTGGAATAATTATCAATCCAACCTCACGAGTTGTTTTGACCAGCTGTTTCAAACGGAAACTTTGGTGGACGTGACGCTCGCCTGCGATGGGAGGAAACTCAAGGCCCACAAAGTCGTGTTGTCTGCTTGCAGCCCCTACTTCCAGAGCTTGTTTATGGATAATCCCAGTGAGCATCCCATCGTGATATTGCGCGACATCATGTACAGCGATCTGAAGGCAGTGGTAGAGTTCATGTACCGTGGGGAGATAAACGTGTCGCAGGAGCAGATCACGGGCTTGCTGAAAGTGGCCGAAACCTTAAAAGTGAGGGGATTGACAGACGTCAACGGGGAGCAAGCCGTGCTGCGAGCCGAGACCGCCCAGAGAGAGATGGAGGCCAGGGCTCAAAAGCGGCCAATGGACGACGCGGTCACAATTCCATCCAAGGTCCGCAGAAGGGGCTCGGACATCGAGCGCAGCCCGAGGCAGAGCCCCCGCGAGTCCCCATCGACACCAGCCGACCTTCTGCCTCCGCCGGACGTCAGCGTGCCCATGCCCATCCACGGCGACGACGCGGACATCAGACCAGGCATCGCTGAAATGATTCGCGAGGAAGAAAGGGTGAGTCCAATGTTCTAAAACTTTCTCCCGCCGTTTTCGCCCCGCCCCGCGTCTCTGTCCCGCTTAAACTGCGCTTCTTTTAAAACGTAATTTTGTGTGTAATTGAAAAATACGATTATTTTATTCTAATATTGTAAATACAAAGACATGATTTCGTGAATGTAAATTGTTGACTCAAATACGACCGATAGATATGTTTTCACGCGTTTTTTTTAATTTACTATTCTTTGTAAAATTAAGTTTCTATGTACCTTCTAGAGTGTAATATTATTTATATTGTTCGCGTGTAATTATAATAATACATACTAAGTTGCAACTAATAACTTGTTAACTTAGTTTAATTGTTGCAACTGCAACTTCGGTTTGCATATTTATTGTAGTGAAGCGTATTGGGTTATAAACCTTACGCTATGGAATTAACGCACAAAATCCCTTAAATAAGCGTAACGCGGAGTTCAGCTGTTGTAAGACTAGGGAGCGTCTCGGTCGGAGTGTCAAGGAACTGATAAATGAACTTCGCTCAGAATGAATGGAGGCGCATAGATCTTGAATAATTAATCATCGGATAAAAATTTTACCCTTTTTATAATATATTAAATTTAAAAAAAAGTAATTTTTTTTATATTGAATTCGATCTGTTGTTAATTAATTAGGTGTTTGAAATAAATTAATGAATTATTGACAAATATTTATATGTTGTTTAATAAAGATTGTATTTACTTCTAATTAAATTCAATAAATAAAAGTAAAATAACGGTAAAACAATTAACATTAAACAGTTTATAAAAAGAAAGAATTATTTTTAAAGGTCAACCGTAAAGTTCACACAATATGCATACATTTCAAATGAAGTTAAATTCTAAAACAATTTTATTAAAAACTATCTATAAATACAGCGACTGATGCAAAACAAAAAATACATGTTATTTTAAAAGTAATCGACACTAAAACATTCTTCTAAGATAAATTTACTGCCATGTTCAAAACTGTTCTCAACTATTTGAAGGTTTTATCATTACACTGCAAATAAATAAAATAAATCGTTTTAATTAATGTTCATTATTAATACGGTCTGACAGTAAATAGTTCTTATTAATATCTTAATTTTCATACTATCACGAAAATCTTATTTAGAATATATAATAAGCCGCGTCCATATCGCGTTGTTCAACGGGAGTTAACTTTGTTGCGCTACTTTAACTTAAAGAGAATATTTTTTACTTCATTTTTTATAGATTTCCTTTTTGCGATACAAATGCTCTTTTTGGTTGTATTTAAAATTCTTTAATAACGGTGTACTTATAAACGTGGATCAAAACGGATTTTTGTATAGACGAAACACATGAAAGAAGGTTTTTAAGAAAAAAATTGGACTGATTATGATAAATTTTTATATAGACTGAAAATATGAATTTTAAATCCATATAAATCGTAGGTATTTAAAAATCTTTTTAAATCCATATAAATCGTAGGTATTTAAAAATCTTTTTAAAACGTAAAGTCTCTCGTCCTTTGAGGCATGGGTCAGTCACATGTGTTTAAAGATTTTTTCAAGGACACCATCTGTGTCCAAACAAAAAAATCTATTGTTTTTCGAATCCAAATCTGGAGTTCCGCGACTTACGTGTTTGCCAAGCTGATAAATTATACAACCACAATAATTGCAATTACATGTTTTAATCCATTTAAATTATAATTATTTAACAATAAAATTATCATTTGTGACAATAGTGACAACTATTATATCAATTAAAAACATAATTCATTTAATTATTTTACACGTTGCGTAATATTTAAGCGTCCTAATTAACTAATATAAATAATATTATTTATTATTGTTTATATTATTAGATAAACTAGGGAAATGATCGCCAAGACTGTGTCAAATACATTTTAATTATAGCGCCACCTATCGGAACCAATTGTAACCACATTCAAATTTTCTACCCCCTTTCTGACCCATACTAAGAGGGTTTTGCGTGTTATATCTGCATACAAAATAACAATAACAGCCGAGTTCGCGTTCTACTACGGCTGAAATAATCCTAATATTTAAACGGCTTCTTAAGTAGGTACAATACCTAATACCTACAAACTAATCAGTTTCCTTTCAGCGATAAATATTAATTATTAACTTTACTCCATTGTTCTAAAATTTTCCAATAAAGTACTGTTCACACTGGTGCGTATTATGAAAATGCAGATACCTAAAAACTATACTTGTAGAGTTTATTAAATAGACAAAAAATATATTAAGATGAATTTCAGGTATCTTAATATATTTTTTACCTATACAATGTAGGTGAAGCGCCCTCTAGTATCGCCCTGAGTAATATCGTATGGCACGACGTTAATCAAATACGTCATGTTTAAATATAGTCTCCAAATAACAATTCAAACAATATTGAAAAACTTAAAGAATGCTGCTTGCCTTACACTTATTGTCTGTCACTTTTACACATACGCGTTTTTCAGTTGATTAGACAAAGATGTTTTCGCTGCACCGTTTGTTTGTTTAGAATCGGCCCTCTACATTGAATCAACATTTGGGAACTGGGGCTGACGATTTCTTTGAATTGTTTTAAATTCGTATTTTAAATCGACCCTGCATTTAACTTTATATTAGAATGTTATTTCTATACATATATAAAAAGCTCTTCTCAGTTCTCTATTGACCGTTGCTTTAACTTAAATATTGTATTATGAACATGCCTTAGCTATTTTCACGACCTAAAATAAAGTGTGGCAACAAAAGCATATTGTTCGTTACAATTAGCAATACAATAAGCATAGATAAGCATCCATACACAATACTTTTCAATAATACGTTTAAGTCAGGTAGAAATTAGCATAGTAATGTCAAAATTTAAAATTTGAGCTTACAAAACACCTTTGCCTCATTCACTCTTTTACTCTGCCCTGTCGGACAGGGAAATGATAAAGTTATAAGAGATTGGTAGTAGTTCTTCTCAAAATCATGATCATCATTCTATCTTCAAAATCTTGATACGTCATGATACTTCATGATCGTTTGTACAATCAAACGCCTATCGTTTTAGATTCAGCCAGGGAAATGGGCAGTTTCTCAGGTCCCCTGCTATTGCTTATGCCAATGGCAGGTTGGGCAGTGTCCCGTCTTTTTTACCAAGTTTTCACTCATGAGTTATCCCATGTGCACCTTAACTGTAACTACCTTCTGGTCTTCTTTTACCTACCCCTGCCCTTGGCAATCGACTGATGATGTCTGATGCTGTACCTTCGTCTTTTGTGAGCTGTATGAACTCACAGGTGTTGCAGTGTTTAGGGCAATATTTCCGGTAGCGAAAGAAACAATAGCAAAGACTAAGTTTAAATCCGGCAAGAGAGGGCTGGGGTCAGGCGTTCCAGTCCGGGTGCACAAATGGATTTTCCTATGTATGCATTAAAGTAGTAGAATTTGTATCTACTCTTAATTATTATATTAAAAAAATTAAGTGTTTCATCTCTTTCTGTCAAATTGTGTTTACGCTTTGTTAAAAAGTGACAGAGTACTTTGGTTTAAACTGTATATCTTTTTATAAAAGGAGCAAAGAACGAGGTTTTATATCGAGTGTCAATCGTTGGAGAACTAATATAACATTTATTTTTGAAGTTATACTTCTTTAGGCGCGTTATGGAAAATTGATGAGAGTGAAATTTTACGATGCGCGCGCACCGTGACACAAAATTAACAGAATGAAGTTGCCCACGGAAGATGCTACGGCATTGGACATAATTTAAAAACAACATTCGAATAATAATAGAATTTATGTTACACTTAATGTAAGAGAATAATAATAAATATTTATTTATTTAATTTTTCAAATGTAAACTGAACTTTATTGACTATAATGACTCCTTTTCCAGTCTTTGATTATTTAATTGTAATTAATTATTTGCATGCAATCAAAAACTATTTTTAATAATGCCAAAGAAGTATAACTTCTTACGCGCGTACATAAGTACACGCACCTTTTTTTTAAATTTATCATCGTCAAAATCAAATCAAAACTAGTATCAAAAATAAAATTAGTCTTAGTAAGCCTCGATAAATGAAAAATACTGAAAAATATAAAAATCGATCAAGTGACTTTGGTAGAGTGAACAAAACAAGACAATGTGACAATACATTACTAGATTTATAAGATTTAGAATATATATCGTTGGGATGATTTTGAATATAAAACAACTATCACATAAGAAGGAAATATAAGATTGATAAGGACAAAACATTCTTCTAAATTGGTGACGCTCCATTGCAAGAGCTTTAAACCAATAATTTCATTTGTAATTAGTATACATAATCCTAAAAGTAACAAATATAAAACACAGACTTTAAAAAAAACATTATCTAATATTATTGTTTACACTCTAAACAATTCGAAACAAACGATCTTTATTAATATAAAATCAAATAAATCAGTGGCGCGAGAACATCTTGGGTAGTAGGTTCGATCCAGGCTGTGTACCAAAGGACTTTCTATGTGCGTATTTGACATTCGCTCGTACGGTGAAGGAGAACATCGTGAGGAAACTGGTTTGGGTTAAACCCAAAAAGTTGACGGCGTGTGTCAGGCACCGTAGTCTGATCACCTACTTGCCTATTAGATTGACATTATCCTGAAACAGATACAACAATCTGAAGCCCAGACCTTAAAAGGTTGTAGCGCCACTGATTTATTTATATTTATTTTTTTATCTTAAATTCGACTCATATAACTGTAGTCCGTCGGGTGTGGTATACTTTACGAACAGAACAGAACAGAACGGCGTCTCAGTCAGTCAAAATTATTCGAAACATAACTTCTTTGCTCTGATAGCCATTTGTTTTGTGAATAAATAATACATCTCGACATTGTAAAACGCGAACAATTAAGTAATTTAAATGTAAATTAATTATAGCAAGCAACAATCAACATTAATTAATAATTTATCACGAAATCCGAATAGTTTTATTGCGTGATTAAATATAAGTAGACAGATACAATTTAAATACGATT